GACCCAGATCATAGTGTCATTTACAGCTTAGTGACCTTGGTCAGACTGTTCAGCACCTCAGAGCTGTAAGATGGGAGTATTAGCAACTGCCTCCAAAGTGTGTGAGGGCCTAGCAGCGCCAGGCATGCAGTGGGTGCTCAGTCAGAACCTCTTGGGTTACTCTAGTCCTCTTGAGTGGCTGCAGGGGTGCGTGGGGGTGGGCAGGAAGCTAAGGAAGAGGCCACACCACCACCAGCCCCTTGTCCCCCTATTCCAAGGTCCCCCTAAGCAGTGATGCTGACAACCTGGCAGGCAAAGCAATGGGACACTTGGCTTCTCACCCTGGGGGCAGCCAGAAGAGGGTCTGCTCACTCCAGGGCAGGCATTGTGCTTGAGAGGTGTGCATGCTCACAGCCCCCTATGTTCCCTTGACTCGACCACCCAGTCCCTTCCCCACATGGCCTTGGTCATGACATGTGGCTACTGGAGCCAAATGGCCTGAATTCAAACCAGGTTCTGCCTTTGACTCTCTGTGTGACCTTGCGGAGGCCATTTAACCTTTCTGTGCCTCAGTTTTCACATCTGTAAGTTGGAGATGTGGGAATGATACTGTCCTCAGATGAGGGAATCCATGTAAAATTTGCAGATTAATATCCAGCTTGCATTAGACATGCCATAAATGTTCACTGGTATTACTAAGCTACACAGCTGTGCATAAATGCCTTCCAAACTCTCCTGCAGCAACCCCCACCCCCCGCACCCCTTGTGGTTGCAAGACTATCAAGCCCTCCTCAGACCATGCTTGCATTTCAGGTACCGTATGACTCACATTCTTGCTAACTGAGCCATGGTCAATGCATTCGTCTTTTACCAGCAAAATGAAGCATACAAGATATCCCCTGGGGTGCCTGGTAGGACCATCACACCAAACCTCTTAGAGGGAACATTGCCCATAAATATTACTTAACCTAACAGTTTCTCCTTGTTCCAGAACAATTAACTTCCATCCCCTGGCTCCCTCCCCTTGGTCTGCCCCCTGCCCCTGACTTCTCCTCCCTCCTCCTAGAGCCAGGTGGCTCATCCTCACCCCCATCCAGCCTCCTCCTCTTGTCCATCTGTCTCCCCAGATCGGGGGAGAAATGTTGCAATCGGCCCACTTTCGAACTGGAAAGGAACCATATGGAAGGTTTAGCTGGGAGCTGAGTGCCTGCCCAGGCACCATGACTGCACCACCAATGCTTTGGGTGGCAGGCTGGCTCCCCCTGGCTCTCTCCGTGACCTGAGACTAGAAGGGGTCCTAGTCCTGCCCAAGGACTTGCTCCTTCCCTCCTTCTCTCTTTTCCCCATGAACCTCCTGATGTCCACACACTGCTCCAGTACTTGAGACCTCTTGGTGTCTTAGGAGAGACCTGAGGGACTTGGCCTGTTTGGAAGTGGCAGAAAGTAAGGGGTGTGGGAGCTGGTCAGGGCTGGGGCAAAGAGGTATGGCTGCCTTGCCTGCTGTAGAGAACTAGGGACAGTATGTGTACATGTGCATGTGCACGTCCTGTGGCCTTGGGTCCAGCACGGTGTGCTAGCATAACCCTTCTAGTTAGCGTACCTTGTTTTCCTAGAAATGCTTCACCACCTGGCTGCTTGTATCTCCAGCCCTCTAAGACTAAGCTCAGTGTTACCACCTTTGGGCAGCTTTCCCTGGTTACCACTTTCTTACCCAGAGTGAGGCTGCATGCTGACGCTTTCTCCATGGGGCTGGTGGTGGGTCGTCTTCCTCTCTACATTGTAAGCCTGGAAGTCCAGGCCCACACAGGGAGGTGTTCAATGTACTAGGGCATCAAGTCTGTGCAGGAGGCTTTAGTGGACCATTTGGAGGACCAGGGGTGGCAGCCAGCTGCCCAGAAAAGGTGATTGGTTTGAGGCATTGATTGGGCCCCAAAATGATCCTGTGTGGAATGTGGTTGGGCCATGTCCCTGAGTGGGACCAAGAGGAGGGTGATGGTCTTAAATAAAGGTTCTGTCTTTACTAAGAAAAATCCTTCACTCTTTTCCATCAATTGAGCCCTGACTGTGCTGATCAGAGGTCCTAAGGGTCTCAATCCATGGGGCTCCCAAGCTCTTGGACCCCAGTAGGCAAGGAACTGTATGACTTTGTGCAAACTGCTTCTCTGGGCTTCAGTTTCCTCATCTGTCAAATATGGTTGATGACAGATAAAATAGACTGGCAAATGCTCTTATACCAGGACATCAGGTGGGGTTGAAATACACAAAAGCCCCCCCCCCCCCCTCAGGCACTCAAGAAAGACACTCTGAGGTTGTGAACTGGCTGTGTGAAGTCAAAGTGCTACAAAGTTTCCCAGTGCTTCAGCTTCATGGCTGGGCTTTAAATCCTGGCTTCTTCACTGTGTATTGACTATGTATCCTCTGTTGAGCCTCAGTTCCCCATCTATGAGATGGGGATACAAATAGGACCTATCTCATAAGCTGTGGTGAGGATTAAATGGGTGAATCACTAGAAAGCACTTAAAACAGTGTCAGGCACATAGAGTGTGCTCAATAAATAGCAGTTGCCTCATTTGCGCTGCATAACACCATGCTGTTGTTAGGTGCCCTTGAGTCAGAAACGACTCATCGTGACCCTGTGTACAGCAGAACGAACACTGCCTGAGCCATCCTCACAATCATTGCTACTCTTGAGCCCATTGTTCAGAGCCACCGTGTCAATCCATCTTGTTGAAGGTCTTCCCCTTTTTTGCTGACCCTCCACTTTACCTAGCGTGATATCCTTCTTCAGGTACTGGTCCCTTCTGACAACATAACCAAAGTGTGAGAGACAAAGTCTGGCTGTTCTTGCTTCTAAGGGGCATTCTGGCTGTACTTCTTGCAAGACAGAGTTGTTCATTCTTTTAGCAGTCCACAGTACATTCAATATTCTTTGCCAACACCACAATTCAAATCAATTAATTCTTCTGCATTCTTCCTTATTCATTGCCTGGCTCTCACATGCATATGAAGGTATTGAAAATACCATGCCTTGGGTCAAGTGTACCTTAATCTTCAAAGTGACATCTTTCTCTTCAATACTTTAAAGTGGTCTTTTGCAGCAGATTTGCACAGTGCATTAAGTCATCTAATTGCTTGGCTGCTGCTTCCATCGGCACTGATAGTGGATCTAAGTAAAACGAAATCCCTGACAACTTCAATTTTTTTTCTCCATTTATCATAATGTTGCTTATTGGTTCAGTTGTGAGGATTTTTGTTTTCTTTATTTTAAGGTGTAATCTATATTGAAGGCTGTAGTCTTTGATCTTCGTCAGTAAGACCCTCAAGTCTTCTTCACTTTCAGCAAGCAAGGTTGTGTTATCTGCATATTGCAGGTTGTTAATGATTCTTCCTTCAATCGTGGTGCCACATTCTTCTTCATATAGTCCAGCTTCTTGGATTATAAATTACACATTACACTATGGAGACTCATTTATTCCCACATTACAGATGGGAAAACTAAGATGTAGGAAAGAAAAGTGCAGTGCTGGAGGTCACTCTGTGGCAGAACTGGGATTTGAACTCAGGACAGGCCCTGCTTCTACCCCCCAATTGCTTCTGGGTGATTTTGGGCCCAGTGGCCTGGGAACTGGGCAGACCAAGAGGAGAGGGTCTAGGAGACTAAAGGGGGGCCAGTAAGTGATGGACTGGGCTAGCACCCAGAGGATAGGCTGAAGGGCTGGAGAGATGTGGGGCTTATCCAGTGATGGATGACATAGCAGGAGAGGTGAAATGGGTGGGGAGCAACTGGATCATTGGATAGGGCCTATGGAAGCTGATTTCAAAGAGGGTCTTGGATGGCTTCTATAGGCTTGTGGATGGGTGGGTTGGGGTAGTGGTGGACTTCTTGCTCAAGAGGGAGGCAGGCCATGTGGTCTCTGTCTCCTTCCCCAGGATTCAGCCAGGAAAGAAGTACAGAAATTGGGCCAGAGAATTAGGGGTGATGGGAAGGCCCCCAAAGATCTTCCCCTGACTCCATCAGCGCTTTTCTGTTGTTCTGCCTGAAGGGAGGCTGGGGTGTCACCTCTCCCTTGCTGAGCCAGGGTGCATGGTGGATCTGGAGAGCCCATGCATTAAGGGGCCTGTGAGTCCTTGGGGAAAGGACCTGGAGGAGAGCTGGACCTTCACTAGAGCCGGGCTTGCAGAGTTGCTGCCTAGGAGGGTGGGAACCAGGCAGCAGCCATGTAGGCTGCTCTTACCAAGGGGCCTACTGGTGGCCACAGGCAAGGGACAGGAGCCTCAGGAGGTGTGTGTGGGTTGGCATAGGAGGTACTAATGGCCTAGGGTGGGCAGTTTGTTTTCATTCTCAGATTTAATCTGCCCCAAATCCTTATGACGTGGTTACAATAAAAATAACCGACATTTACTGAGCACTTACTGGATGCCAGATATTGCTGTGTTTATATGCATTCACTCACTTATTTTTATAACAACCCTTTGGAGTAAACTCACAGCCATCAAGTTGATTTGACTCATAGTGACCTCTCTTTGGGTTTCAGGGGCTGTATCTCTACGGAAGTAGATTGCCCGGTCTTCCTTCCGACCGGGCAACAGTCAGAAGACTGTCAGTCTTCTGTTTAGCCTTCAAAGCCTTAGGTACTTCATACGGATGATGTATTTGAGGCACAGAGAGGTTCAGAAACTGGCCAGATATCACACAGCTGTAAGAGATAGAGCCAAGATTTGAACCCAGGCAGTCTCACTTCTAAGAACTATGGTGTACTTTCTCTTACTACTAACCTGTTTTACATAAGAGGACTCTGAGGCACAGAGAACTTAAGTGACATGTCTGGGGTCACCCAGCTTATGAATGGTACAGCTGAGTTTTGTACTGGGGCTGCTGATTGCTCAGCTGCTGCTCAGGGCTAGGAGTCAGGTTAGGAGATTGGGCAGGTATGTGTGCATGTGTGCATATGCGTTGCGTGTGCACGTGTGTGGAGCCTGTGTCTCCCACCAGCCCCAACTGACTGGTGGCCTTCCCACAGGGGGTGTGTGCATTGCCCAATCGGTGAAGATACCACGAGAGCCCAAGCCAGGAGAGTTTGACAAGATCATCCGGCGCCTCCTTGAAACCTCGAATGCCAGGGCAGTCATCATCTTTGCCAATGAGGATGACATCAGGTGAGGACAGGCAGTGACGGGGCAGGGAACTGGGTGTGGATGAGCCTTGGGTCTCGCTGGAGACCGTCCTTGATCAGCCTGACCCCACCTTGGAATCCAGAGGGGGTGGGAGCGGTGAGTGTGTGAGCTAGGAGACCACTCAGGCTGGGGCACAGGCTATAGACCACAGTTAGAGACAACCCATCCTATCCCCCCTCTTTGTTTCCTGCATTCATTCTACAAACCAGGAATGATAACTAGGATGCCTTAATGTAGGAGTGGGGATGGTAAGGCCATGGGTTTGGGTCAGATGACCTGAGTTCCAATGGTGCTCTTCTACCTACTAGCTTTGTGACCTTAAGCAAGTTTCTTGACCTCTCTTGGCCTCTTTTAACTTAAAAAAAAAAAAAAATGCTAACAACACCTGCATGTGATAGAGTTATTGTGAGAATTGAATGCAGGATAGGGCATAGGACTTAGAACATAGGGTCTGGAGTGCAATAGGTTCCCAGTAAATGTTGGCCACCTCTCGGCCCCTTCTTCCTTTTTTTGGAGAGGGAACAGAGGGAAGAGGGCTAGACTCTGGGTTGTGGTTCTGTCTTAGGCACAGACTTGTGGGGAGCCTTCTTCTCTCCCTGTGCAGAGTGGGAGCAGGCAGACTCTGGCGTCAGAACTGTGCATGCAGAAACCCTGGGCCCGCCCAGCTCTCTGCACATCCACCCGTGTCCTGAGTCACAGGCAGAAACTCCGTACTGTTAATAGATGACCTCTGAACACCCTTCCTAATCCATTTCTTTTCCTTCTGCAATTGTCCTTGCTACCATCTGGCTTACAGGGCCAAGATGGGTTAGACCTCAGAGATGCCCCAGTCTGAGGGGGAGACATAACCCTGCCCTCAGGGAGCAGGCCTCCTGATGAGACACCAATCTGGTGGGGGGAAGCACCCCTCTGCTTTCACAGAGGAAGTCGAGGCAGCAGATGTGGTTTTCCTCAGGCCTCCTCCCTTAGATCTGGTCAGAGCTGGCAGGGGATGATGTGCCTTCAGGCCTCCCCAGCCCACCCTTCCAGCCACTGTTTGCTGCCTGGTCTGCCCTTCTATCTCCTCCATGCAGCTCCCTCCTCAATGCTAACCAGAGGCCACCCTGGGCCTGTTCTTTCAAATCCGTTTTCCCAACTGCTGTTTCCAGTTCATGAATACCTGGTTCTGGACGTTTCCAATTCATGAATACCCGGTCCTGGACTCCTGGACTGCACTATAGCAGATTTCCCCCAGGAACATTGCCAGGTCCCTGGATGTGGGGAGGGAGTGAGTTCTGCAAAGTCACTAAGCTCTCAAAAGCCAAATGACCACCTGTCATGGGGGTGTCTTAGGTGACCAAAAGCCAAGGAGGCGAGGTCATTAGAGCCCCTGTTGGCACTCTCAGAGTTGAGCAGAGAGGCAGAGAGGCAGCTTCTGAACACTGTAAGCCTTACCAAAAAAACCAAACTCATTGTCATCAAGTCGATTCTGGCTCATAGCAACCCCCACTGGGTTTCTGAGGCAGTACATCTTTACAGAAGTAGATTGCCCCATCTTTCTTCCATGGAGCAGCTGGTGGGTTTGAACTACTAACCTTTTGGTTAACAGTCAAATGCCTTATCCACTACACCATGAGTGCTCCTTGTAAACTTTACAAAAAAACCAAGCCAAACTCATTGCCATTGAGTCGCTTCTGACTCATAGCCAGCCTTCCTTGGGTTTTTGAGGGTATGTCTATGGAAGTAGATTGCCCAGTCTTCCTTGGGAGGAGTGGCTGGTGGGTTTGAACTGCCAGCCTTCAGGTTAGCAGTCAGATGCCTTAGGCACTACACCACCAGAGCTCCCTTACAGGGTACCCTAAATTCCGACTTTGGATGTTCCTGCTGCCCACTAGTCAGCCAGGTTCTAGGGCAAGAGGGGCCTCTTCTGAGCTCTTTTTTTTTCACTTCAGACCTCAGCCCCTCCACCCTGGCTCCCATTCCCCCACCCAAAGCCTGGCACTGCTCAGTTCCCACACCCCACCCAGATATGCCTCCCACCCCTTGCCTGCTGATTTTGAGGGGCAACTTCAGCTCAGCCATTATTTTTAACCAGTGGCTCCATGGACAAGGTCTTCCGCTTTCCCTAACCGTACCCACATCCTTCCTGGCTTCCCCTTGGCTGTGGGCTAGAGTCCCTGGGGCATTCCCAGACCCTACACATACCCCTCAGCCTGTCTATCCTACTATGTAAAGGACAGATGATGGGGAGTGTAGGAGAGTAGGGAACTGGACATTGGGATAGACCAGACAAGAGATGGTGGTGGTAGGGGGACAGGTAGAACCAAGGGGGATGCTATTTAGGAGGTGAAATTACAGGTCTTGGTGACTGATTTGTTGGGGGCGGTGAAAGAGAGGGAGGAGTCTTTGATGACCCTCAGATTGCTGGGTAGGATAACTGTGGGGGAAGGCAGGGCAGGAACAGGGGAAGGACTGACCAGTTTGGTTTGGGATACATTGAGCCTAAGGGGTAGACATGGTGTTTCCATCTACCTTTATGTCAGGGCACAAGGCTTCACTTTTTGCCTTAGTTTCTCTTGTGCCCTTTGTTCACGAAATGCAAAAAGTACTTCCCACTGACCAAAGCAGATGGGGCGGTAGAAAAAGCCCAGAGCTGGGGGTCAGGAGACCTGGTATCCACTAGGCCTGTTAGCTATGTCACCTTGGACAAATCACTGCCCCTCTCTGAGCCTTAGTTTTTGCATCTGCCCAGTGGTGATGACAACATTCTGTCATGCCCTCTTAGAGACAGATGTAGGGGGGCTCAAAAAAGAAAGAGCTCAGAGGCACTAGGCCCCAGCTACTGGGAGTGGAGGGTTGGGCCATTTGTCCCAGAGAAGAGGTGCCTGGGGGAGGGTGTAGAAGGGACTTAGTTTGACACTCTGAGCAGGCTGCAGGAAGTGTCGTGAGAGGTGGGGGTCATTTCTGGAAATCCATGTGCATTTTCAGAGGCAAATAGAAGTAAAAATAAACCCAAGTGACTTTGCAGGGATAGAGGGCTGGGAGTTCGCTCTGGTCATCTTGGCTGGCCAGACAGAGTCAGGTATTAATAGGGATGTGGGTGTGGGTTCTGAGAGCAGTCCCACCTGCCATTAGTGGTGATCTGGTGGAGTGGGCCTTCAGCAGGTGAGGGGATCCGGGAAGTGTCAGGAGCTGCTTGATGAGGCAGGAGGGAAGGGGGTGGGGTGGTGATGAAAAGTAAGGCTAGCTCAGGCTGGCTGCAACCCCAGGTCCAGGGACTGGAAATACTTGTTTCTCTCTGGAAGCCCCAGGCCCACCTTCTCCAGCTGTCCATCCCCTGCACAGGCCCAGCAGCCACCTCCAAACCTTGCTGTCTGCTTCTGGTTTTTGCTGATGGGACAGACCTGGCCAGTTTTTAGTCTCACTCGCTGTGTGACCTTGGGCAAGTTGCTTGCCTTCTCTGTGCTCTAGTCTCTGAGTGAAAGGAGTTGGGTTGGACAGAGTCTACCCATTCCTCGCTATTTTCCTCCTTCAAGGAAATACATTTGAGGGGCGTTTATTCAGTGTTGATTGAACATCTCTTGTGGACTTGACCCTGTGTTGGGCTCTCGGGTCCCTGCTTTGATTAAGACCACTGCCAAAGCAGGGCTGGGGGTGGAATGGGGTGAGCACCAGTCTTCCCCATAGGATTCCTCATCGTGCAAGGTGGGGAGCCGCTCTTTGAAATGCCTGGACTTTTGGCACAGAGACGTTGGGTGAGAGGGCACTATGGCAGGGGATCAGCATGAGCAGAGTGGTAAATATGTATGGTGTGTGTGTATGTGTGTGTGAATGTGTGTGCATACACTAATAGATATACATGTGAGAACAGGCCAAGGGAAATAGATGTGAGCTTAGGTGGTGTGAGCCTGAGAGGGCAGGGACGGGGCAGATGTGGTTCTAGTGATCTGAGTCAAACATGGGGAAGGTGTGGGCTGGGACAAATATGGCTCTGGGGACAGGAATGGGCCTCGGAGAACACACTGGACTTGTAAGAGGGTGTGGGCTCGGGACAGGTGTGTGTGGGACTTGGGGGGACTGGTATGTGTGGGAGGGGTAACTGTGAGCCAGCATGGGCTAGGGGTTGGGGGAACTATGGGCTTGGGAGCACCAGCATGGGTTCTGGAGCAGCTGTGGGTCTCCTGAGCTCATGTGGGCTGTTGGGGAGGGTCAGTCATGGGCTATGAAAGGGACAGTTGTGGGCTAGGGGGCAGTTGGGGTGTGGGCAGGGTGGGGCAATTATGGACAGACACGGCTGGGCTGGGCTGGGCTGGTGTGCATTCGTTCCCACAGGCGTGTGCTGGAGGCAGCCCGAAAAGCCAACCAGACAGGCCACTTCTTCTGGATGGGCTCGGACAGCTGGGGCTCCAAGATTGCACCTGTGCTGCACCTAGAGGAGGTGGCAGAGGGTGCCGTCACAATTCTCCCCAAACGGATGTCTGTGAGAGGTAGGCTGAGTGGTAGGACCACCCCCCTCACTCCACTACCACTGCCAGCATTGTCTGGATGCTTCCTCCTCATATCCTCCACCCTCTTCCTCTCTTTCTCCTCATCTCCCCACATCTTTTTGTTCCTCTTCATTGGCCCATGGCTCTTATATTCTGAGGTTCTGGGCTGGGGGGCGTTTTAGACCACATTCAGCCCAGCAGGATTCAAATCCAGATACTGGATCTCTCATCCTCCTTTCTCAGGTGTTTTGCATGTGGGAGATATGTGCATGTATGGGAGGCTCATTTCTCAAGGATTCTCCTTTACCTGTCATCCCATCCCTCCTCCCACCTGGGGCAGAAGCCAAGGCCCTCAGCCTGCCTGGAACCCTGCCAGGAACTATCATCAGGCTGTGTAATGGGGGAGAGCATCCCTGCAGAGCTGGCCTGGGCTAGGCAGGCCCTGGGATGGGATTGGGGTTGGGTCTACCCTGCCCTGTACCCCTTCCTCTTGGTCTACCTGTAAAGGCAACAGTCACCCTGGGCAGGAACAGGCTGCTTTGGCCAGATCTGCATAAGGAGCAATGTATGAAGTTTCCATTAATCGCCCTATTTGGCGTGGACCCAGCTACTTTTTCTCCTGCCATGGCCCTGTTCAATAGACTCCAGGGTTGATGGAACGGGGAGGGACCACAGACATCTGCTCCATCACAAACTTTCGAAGAGACTGAGGCCTGGGAAGAGGAGGGGCTTACTCAAGGCCACACAGCAGTATTTTCCATTCACTCTGAAGTGGAGGGAGCCCGGGCAGTGGAAGTTTCCACACCACCCCTAACAGCTTCGAGCCATAATAAACACAAACTAACAATAGCTGCAGCTTATTGGTACCTACAGATGCCAGGCCTCTTACAGACATTTTATGTAGTCTTCCCAGCTGTCCTATGAAACACTTTTTTTTTAAAAAAAATTTTTCTTATTGTGATTTGGGTGAGAATTTGCAGAGCAAATTCACTTTCCATACAGCAGCTCACATACACTTTGTGTGAGATACTCTTATACACATACATTGAGTTTCAGAGAGGTTAAATGAGATATAGTGGCAGTAAGTAACATTCCCCAAACCAAACCAAACTCACTGCCATCAAGTGGATTCTGACTCACAGTGACCCCTTTTGGGTTTCCAAGGTGGTAAATCTTTACGGGAGTAGATTGTCCAGTTTTCTTCCTGCAGAGTGGCTGGTGGGTTTGAACCTCCAACCTTCTGGTTAGCAGTCAAATGCCTTAGGCACTACACCACCAGCGCTCCTTTAGTAAGTAGCATAGTGGCTAATAAGTAGCAGAGCTGAGATTTGAACCCAGGTCTTGCTTGGCAAGTCCCTGTTCTCTCTGGGACATTAGAAAGGCCTTTAGGGCAGTGATTCTCAACTGAGGGTGACTTTGCCCTCCAGGGTACATTTGTCAATGTCTGGAGACATTTTTTTGGTTGTCACAGTTGGTGCTGCTGGTGTCTAGTGAGCAGAGGCCAGGATGCTGCTAAACGTCTGACAGAACAGCATCCACAACAAGGATTTTTCTGACCCAAAGTGACAATAGTGCCGGTCAGACACCTGCCCTAGGCTAATACCCTACCTGATGCAGGGATTTCCCCTATAGCACTTTCACTTGGACTCTTGGCCTCTACTTGGATCCTTACATGTACAGGGAGCTCACCACTTGATGTGGGCCCTGTTGAGCTCTCAGGACTTTTGGCCCCACCCAAGCAGTTCATTCAACTATGGGCATCACACAGAACAGTCACTGGTAGGAAAGGGCATTTGGGAGGAGAAACAAGGCCTTTCACCTGCCAGCTGGCTCAGCGAGAAAGCTCCGTCTGCTGAGAGCAGGGCTGGTGAGTCCTGCAGAGTGTATGGAGGCGGTGTCTGTCCAGGATGGGAAAATTCTGTGCTTGAAGGCGCAGGATGTAGGCCTTGGTCTTGCGATGTGACCTGGGTGATCCCTTGAACTCTATAGTCTGGTGAGAACCAGATTGAAGCTCCCAAGTTTGGGCACCCCCCACCAGCCTCACTCTGCCTTGAGGCTCTGGCTCTAATCCTAGGATCCCAAGGTGGCTGCCTCTCAAAGAAGCCGATATTAGCATTTGTTGGTTGTTAAAAGGCCGTGGAAGCAGCCTCACCAGTGCCCTTCTCTTCCGTAAAGGCAACAGTTGTAAGATTACACATGTTCCCCCAGGACTCGATACAGCTCTTTTCATTTGGAATGAAATGCAAGGCTCCATGTTTCGTTTTTGCCGCCTGAGCCCTGATTCAGAAGATGAGAAGCTGGGGACAGGGAAGGGCCTGGGGGTGAGTGCTGAGGGGTGAGGGCCAAGACCCTGATATCCCCATTCTCTTCTAGGCTTCGACAGATACTTCTCTAGCCGCACGCTGGACAACAACCGGCGCAACATCTGGTTTGCCGAGTTTTGGGAGGACAACTTCCACTGCAAGCTAAGCCGTCACGCACTCAAGAAGGGCAGCCACGTCAAGAAGTGCACCAGTGAGCACCAGGAATGGATGATGGGGCGTGAGGCGGGCCTGTGGGGCAGGTGGGCCGGGCCTGGGGCAGAGCCAATGAATGAAGGCTTTGGGGGACTAACTAGGCTAGAAGGATGAGATCTGAGGGGCGGGGCTGTTGGGAAGAAGCACGTAAGGCGTAAGGCGGGAATGCTTGGCTGCTAACCAAAAGGTTGCCAATTTGATCCCACACAGTGGTTCTGAAGCAGGAAAGACCTTGGCAATCTGCTCCTGTAAAGATTACAGCCTAGAAAACTCTATAGGACAGTTCTACTCTGTCCCGTGGAGTCTTTATGAGTCAGAATAGACTATGGTACCAAACAACAACAAGAGCTTATATCTGAGGGACAGGGAGGCTTAAGGGGCCCGAGGTGGCGAGGTGTGAAGGACTAAGAAAACAGAGAAGTAGGGGCTGCCTGTGCCTGGTGGCAGAGATAGGAGGCCAAGGGGTGGGGCTTTAAAGAGGCAAGGCTTGATGCCGGGCCAGGCTGATTCTGGGTCCAGTACCGCAAGGCCTTTGGGTGGAGATTAGAGTCTTGGAAACCACTCTGGTACCTTGGGTGGCAACCTCAGTGATGCTGCCCTTGTCATTGAGTGGTGCCCTTGACCTCTGACTGCCTTGAGATTCATCTGCACATCCTCTAGGGTGAGCTAACAGAACTGACCTGACTCGAGCTGCTGTGTGGACCTCTGATGCTAACCCTCCCTCTGAGTTCCCTCAATGTCTCAACAAACACTGCTTTAGCTTCCAGGATGTTCCTGGCCCTGTTCTAAGCACAGTGGATATAGCAGTGAATCAAAGAGTGAAAAAAATTCTTGGAGTTTTTATTCTAATGGCAAGACACACAATTAACAAGATAAACTTAAAATACTGGATGTGGAATGTCAGAAAGAAAATATGTAGCAGAGAAAACTAGATGAGAAAGAGGATGGGGAGTGTGTGTATGGGGTGGGGAGAGGGAGTGCAACTTTAGAGTGGCCAGGGAAGTTCTTGTTGCCAAGGTAACATTTGAACAGAGTCCTGGAGAGGAGAGGGAATGAGCCATGGAGGGTGTGTGTGGGGTACAATGGACCATTTTACAGACGGGAAAACAGAGGCTCAAAGGAGGTAAGTAAATGAACCTGAGTTCCCTCGAATGGACAGTGGTGGAACATAATTTGAACCCTGGACTGAGTTTTATGCCAGTGGCTCCTAGGGTAGCCATCTTGGTAAGTCTACAGGCAGACACATTTGTGCCTGGGTTCTTGTGTGCTATATACTATATACAGATATACTGTATCACCCCCGACTGATAGATGCAGCTTGGGCAGAGGGTCAGGTGAATGAGGGTCACTGAAGCTGCCCCAGGGACATTCTGCGTGGACTAGTTGGCAGCCGGGCGGCCCACCAAGGACAGGAGAGGAGGGAGCATGATCCTCAGAGGTAACTGCCCTCTGGTGGCCAGGGCCCACTGAGAATCACAGTCACTGGGATGGTGGGTATCCCCTGGGACCCAGGCAAACCTACTGTGTCTGATCTGCCAGGTGAGTGCAGGTGTATGAGTGTGCTGGGTGGCAGTGTGTATTTGCCCGCAGCTGTATGTTTGACTGTGTATGTCCATGAGTCAGTGTGTCTCAGGGAGCAGGTATGTGTATGTACGTGTGCCTTATGGTGGGGGGACCCTGGGTGAGCTAGTAATCCAAACACCACAGTGTATTATATATCTACTATGTTCTGGACCCTTTAAACACATCATCTCATTTCACTCTAACAACTCTGGAAACTCTTAAGATCTCCAAATTATAGGTGAGTCTATGGAGAGTCAGAGAGGGTAAGTCAGAGAGGACAAGGCTGCACAGTAATTGCCTTAATCAGTCAGTAGTCACAACAGAGGTGGTGTCAGAAGAACAATTATGCCTCAGCATGGGAGGCTGGGCCCTCATGGATGTGGTGACAGTGTCTTCTGTTTACTCTCGTTTTTCTGGCACAATTACTGATAGTGCCCCCATTTTATTCTCAAAAGTACTCATGTGTATGGTCATGAGTATACATAAGTACTCAAGAAAAACTGTATAGTCACAGGGCTTGGGTAGGGGATTGGGTGAGTCTTGGGGAGGGCAAGATGAGTAATTGGGGCCTCCAGACCCCGGTGTCTACCCTGCTGAGGGTGAGAGACCTTCCAGAGTTACCTCTTTGTCTGGGAGGGGCAGGAGAGGAGACAGCCTTGGTCAGTCTCTATGGTTCTGTCCAGATTCCTGGACGTCTTCCCAGCTGTGTGGTGAGCAAAGAGGAAGAGAGTTGTCCAACAACCAAGGGAGGCATCGGGCCTGACTGTTCAGAGCGGGTAGGCAAAGGAGGGCTGGCAGGGATCAGTGGAGTTTGGCTGTTTCGCTGTGAGCCTAAGGCAAGTTCTGTGGTCTCTGGGCCTTTGCTTTCTCATCTGAGAAATGGGGTTGATGAACCACCCTAGAGGGTGTCTGGGGATTGAAGTGAGAAAGCCTTAATGCAGGAGGCACTGTGTGAACTGTAAAATTGAGGCTCAACCCTGGCTATGCATAGAATCACTGGGAAGATTTTTAAAAAATATGCCACCCCTAGATCACCTAAATCAGAGTCTTACAGGGGGTCCTGGGCTGTGGATTATTATTATTTTTTTAAGGAGCTGTAGTGGTGCAGTTGTTAAAGCATTTGGTTGCTAACCAAGAGGCTAGCAGTTCAAACCCACCAGCAGAAGAAAGATGAGGCAGTCTGCTTCTGTAAAGATTTATAGCCTTGGAAACGCTATGGGGCAGTTCTACTTTGTCCTAAAGGGTCACTATGAGTTGGAATCAACTTGACGGCAGTGGGTTTTGGTCCCTAAGTAACTGAATGGATACTCAGAGCTAGGAATCTTGGACTGGAGCAGTGGTTCCCAAGTTTTTCTGCACATTGAATTACCTGGGGAGCTTTTAAAAATGCTGATGCTGGACTCTCACCCCCTAGACATTTTGATTTAATTGATGCTGGGTGCAACCTAAGGAGCTCTGGTGATGTGGTGAAAGCATTTGGCTGCTAACTAAAAGGTCAGTGGTACAACTCCACCAGCCGCTCTGCAGAAAAAAGATGAGGCACTCTGTTTCTGTAAATATTTATAGTTTTGGAAACCCTATGGGGTAGTTCTACTCTGTCTTATAGGGCTGCTATGAGTCAGAATTGACTTGATTGCAGTGGGTATGATAGGTGCTGATAAAATGATTGTCATTATCGATATAATAGAGGAGTGGGAGGGATGAGATTTAGATGGGCGGTTAGATAACGTAACAGCCCAAACCTGTTGGTACCCATTTTGTCTGCTATAGGATCTCTGAGAAGGGAGGATGTCGTTCAGAGGGAGGTGGTCCCAGTTGTTCCAGTTGTCTTGGAGTCAACTCTGACTCTTAGTGACCCCCTGTGTGTCAGAGTAGAACTGTGTTCCACAGGGTTTTCAATGACTGATTTTTTGGAAGTAGTTCTCCAGACCTTTCTTCTGACGTGCCTCTGGGTGGACTTGACCTTCCAAATCTTTCAGTTAACACAAAAGTTAGTTGAACATCTCAGGGACTTCCAACACAAGTGTAACACCTTTTTTTTTTTTTTTATGTGGTGAAAACATATATAACAAGACATTTGCCAATATAACAACTTTCCCATTTACAGCTCAGGGACATTGACAACACTTTTCATGTTGTGCCACCATTATCGCTATCCTTTTCTCAAATATTGCACCACCATTAGCATAAACTCAGTGCCCTGAAACAAAAGCTTCCCCTTTCCCTCTCTTTCCTACCCCTGTGGGTAAAGGACAGGGAGGTGGCTTCTTCTGATCTCCTCCAACTTCACAAGACAAAGACAGAATCACCACCAGCAGCCCAAGGCTTCTTCTTATAAGGGCAGACATACTGCCACCCTCCAGCCTTTTTACCAACTTTGACACAAGCTATTCCTCCCACGATACTCACTACCTCTCTGCTATGTTTGTTAATTCCTTGCAATGGCCAGTTGCAATACTCATGATTGTGGGGTTTATTAGGGAAGTAACAGGTTACAATTCAGGTTCAGGAGTGTGCTCAAGATACAATTTTTCGATCAGGACAGTTTCCCTCTGCTGTACCCTCAGATTTGCCTCTCTGGTCCTTGGCCTCTCAGCCTGGCCTCTGCCTCTGTGGGCCAGGTAAGCCTGAGGCTCTGTCTCGTGTCTCTTGGTTCCACTGCCACCATCTCTTCACCTGGGCGTCTTTCAGTCAAGGAGGTTTAGTGCAGGTATCTTGGGTCCAAGGATATGCTCCACTTCACCTCCAGCTCTTATCTCTTGATGGCAGTGAGATCCCCTCTCTGCCTCTAGGAGGGCTCATTTTAAGGCTGGCAGAGTGACAAAACTAACCTGTCCCGACATCAGAGTTCTACACACCTTATTTGCATCGTCCCACCTAGTAATCTGATGGGAATTACAAAGACTATGGCTAGAAAAGGCATACCAGGTAATTCACTGCACCATACCCTTGTAACCACTAAAAATCTTTGATATATATATGAAAGCGAGGATGACTTGAAGCACTTACTGATGAAGATTGAAGACTACAGTCTGCAGTATGGATTACACCTCACTATAAAGAAAACAAAAATACTCACAACTGGACCAATAAGCAGCATCACGATAAATGGATAAGTTGTCAAAGACTTCATATTACTTGGTTTTACAATCAACACCAATGGAAGCAACAGTCAAGATATTAGACGATGTAAAGCACTGGGCAAATTGGATGCAAAAGACCTCTTACAAGTGCTGAAGAGCAAAGATACCTCCTTGAAGCCTAAGATGTGCCTGACATAAGCCATGGTATTTACAATCACCTCATACACATGTGAGAGCTAGACAATGAATAAGGAAGACCAAAGAAGAGTCAATGCTTTTGAGTTGTGGTGTTGGCAAAGAATGCTGAAAGTACCGTGGACTGCTAAATGAGCTAACAAATCTGTCCTGGAAG